CAAAATGCAGATTTTTTTGTCATTTTCGTCATGGACTTGGGCTGCAACTTTTGGGCCTTCATTTTGAGCTTTCTTCACTTGATATCATGTTGAAAATGGGCTGAACTTGTGTATGACTTGGGCCAATGTTATTTTCCATGTGTTCATGGCCCAAACATTCAAGAAAGAGCCCATTTAGAGCAGCTTGTAGCTTCTTTGTCTTTGATCTTGTCATGGGTCCATCCAGAAAACTGATGTGATCCACGTTGCTCCCATTTTGTTCCGTCGTGCTTCCAATGTCCTCATCACTGATCATAACTCACCTCTTGAACAGCTCCATGCAACACTACGATCTATCAATCTTCCATTTAATGCATCTTCGGAGACCTCGTCCAAATCTCCTACACATGCTACACAACCGGTTCCTTCTGATCCCTCTTCTCGTTCTTCATTTTCCACTAACAATCTTAATGATGCAGTGGAGAGTACGCAGGAGAATGTTGTGGAGGAACCCTCAATACACCACAGTGAACCTCCTCTACAGCCTCAAACTGCGGAATCTGAGGACAATGATATTCAACAGAATATTGACCATATAGTTGAGGGGGAACTCTATGTACCTGACGAATCACTTCCTCAACCTGTCCATACACCATCATTGCGTAGAGGAACCAGAGATCGGAAGCCACCTACTGCCTGGTGGAAGCTAAATCACGCACCGCAAAGCCACCTAGCTACGCACTCTATTCTTGATTATGCTTCCCTTGATGCGTTTCCTTCTAACGAACGTGCTTTCTTAAGTGTTATTGAGCAGGGATCAGAACCCCAATCCTATGATCAGGCAAAGGACATACATGTTTGGCAGCAAGCCATGCAAGAAGAACTTGATGCTCTTGAACGAAACAAAACATGGGAACTAGCAGAACTTCCACCCAACAAGAAAGCAGTTGGATGCAAATGGGTGTACAAGATTAAATACCACAGCAATGGTGAAATCGAGCGACACAAAGCACGTTTGGTAGCCAAAGGATTTACACAAACCTTTGGAGAATATTACACCGATACATTTGCACCGGTGGCTAAAATCCCTACTGTTCGTGTGATTATTTCTCTTGCTGCTAACTTTTCTTGGATGTTGTTTCAGATGGATGTGAAGAATGCATTTCTTCAAGGAGACCTTGAGGAGGAGATTTTTATGAAACTACCTCCGGGATACACTAAAGCTACTAACTCTAATCATGTTTGCAGATTACACAAAGCAATATATGGGTTAAAGCAGTCCCCGAGAGCTTGGTACCAGAAGCTACATGATGCTCTTGTCCAAAAAGGGTTCTCTCGAAGCCAATCTGATCACTCCTTGTTTACACTCCATAGCTCATCTGGTATAATCATTCTTATCGTTTACGTTGATGACATCATACTTACAGGGAGTGATCAGGGTGGTATTAGTGACACTAAGAATTATTTGCAATCGGTTTTTGATATTAAGGATCTCGGACTTCTTAAGTACTTTCTTGGTATTGAAGTTAGTCGGATTTCCGGTGATATATTTCTCTCACAACGCAAATACCTTCTTGATCTTCTTAGTGAAACAGGAAAACTTGGAACCAAACCCGTTCGTACACCGATTGAAGAGCATTTCAAAGATCAACGCGAGGGGGAATCGTTGGACGATGTGGGACAATATCGACGCGTTGTAGGTAAGCTTATATACCTCACCATTACACGTCCTGACTTAAGTTTTGCTGTGCATCAGGTTAGCCAATGGCTTCATGCTCCAACCACAACACATTGGCAAATGGTGGATCGTATACTCAAATACTTGAAGGGAACACCAAACAAAGGACTATGGATGAGACACAACAATCATGCGGAGATCGTAGGATACTGTGATGCGGACTGGGCAGGTGACAGAACAGATCGGAAATCAACCACGGGTTATTGCACGTTCATTGGAGGAAATCTTGTCACATGGAAGAGCAAGAAGCAAACGGTTGTTGCTAGATCAAGTGCGGAAGCAGAATATCGAGCAATGGCCAACACAACTTGCGAACTCATGTGGCTAAGACAACTCCTAGAAGATCTTGGATTCATGACAAGCTAGCCAATACCACTTCACTGTGACAATCAGGCTGCACTTCACATCGCAGTAAACTCAGTCTTTCACGAAAGAACGAAGCACATAGAGGTGGACTGTCACTTCATCCGCGAAAAGATCAATCAAGGATTGATATCCACAACATACACTCGGAGTCAAGATCAGTTAGCGGACATACTCACCAAGGCAACCAGCTCATTTGTCCTAAACAAGATCCTCTCCAAGATTGGTCTTACTGATGTTCGCCGACCAATCTTGAGGGGGAATGTTGATGGACAAACTCAAGACACAAATCCGGACAAACCAACCTGTACTTCCGAAGATAAGCACAAGAACGAGTTGCCTTATTCAGACTTGTTGCTGGACACTTGAAGAACTCAACCAAATAAGGAAATGGCGTGCAAGAGGAAGATTAGAAGAAATCAAGGAATTCTGCAATATACTCATCACTCAATCATGGACATAGACATATATTACTTACCATACTTAGAATAGATTATATCTCTTTCCTTAGAAGTCTGATTACATAGCCGTTGTGTATCTCACTTGCCTTTCTAATTTTCGTGTGTAATGTCTATAAATCTGTACAAAGTTATTCAGAAATAAACAAGGAGAATTCAAGTGATTTTGAGTGTTCATACAATCTCCTCTCCATTCTTGTTCGTTACTATCTATATCATTCAGACTAAATTCTACATGGTATCAGAGCGAAGAAGATCCTAAATCTTTGTCTTTTCTTTCTTTTCCATCTCTCTCACTCCTTTTTGATCTGTTGTTCTTCTGATCATGGATTCGGCTTTGAAACCGATATCAATCACCCTCAATGGTGATAACTATTTCTATTGGAGCAAAGCGGCTAAAGCCTTGCTCAGTAGCCGTGGCTTGTGACATCACATCGTCCCCAAAGTGGTATCTACCCCAGCAAGAAACGCTGCAGAAGGAGAGCCACTCGAGACACAACCTCGTCCCCAATCCGAAACAGATTCGGAAAAAGTGGTATCAAGACGATCAAACTGCCCTTGTTCTGTTGCAGCAATCACTTGACAAAAGTGTTCTCCAATCATTCATTGCTTTAGACTCAGCCAAAAGTCTATGGGATGCACTCAAGAGAACTTATGGTAATATTTCTAACATCAGCCGAATTTTTGAAATCAAAAAGAGGATTTTTCAATTGCAACAGAATGAGGAGGAGCTCAACAAGCGTGGTGAAGAAGACAAAGTTTTTGCAATTCTTCTCACGTTAGATGCATCCTACAACGATCTTGTCTACCACCTTCTCCGTCAATCAAGCCTTCCACAATTTGATGAGGTATGTATGCTTATCAAACGTGAGGAGGGGGCCGCAATCTGTTTGCAGGACCAACAGAATTGGCTCACTACACCAAAAGGAACGATGACGTCTTCAGGAAGCAAAGTGCAACGCCCTCAGCTTCGCGTGATAGGAGATCATTCTTTTGCGATCACTGCAAAAGAACCGGTCATTCCAAGGAGCGCTG